TTTTTTTTTTCCATTTACAAAATTAACTCTCTTGATATACAGTTATTTTAAAGATGGCAACGACAACTGAAAAGCTTTCTTCGACAGTTTCGTTATTTCCTTTTAAATAAAAAGAAATTAAAACTGCAAAGCACAGGTATTACTTTTTAGTACTTTAGTATTAAAGAGCATATTTTTCTCCACTAAAATCTGTTATCAATTTTTAAACTTCTGTAAAAATAAAGTATTCAGTATTATCTTATCCTCTAACATTAACGGGTACTTACAGAGTGATGGGCGTTAAAAAGAGGGGCAAGTAACCTAAGTCATTTTTAGAAAGGAGGACTTTTAAAAAAAAACCCAGTAATTATGTTACACAAAAAATATTCATATTTTTTAAAATTTTTTTAGGAGTGGGATGCGGCTATTTTTAAAATCTCTTTACGGAGCAGATCAGTTATATGTCATTCACTCCATATAATTGTTTTTCCGTACTGTAGTTTGTCATTTGAAAATAAAGTTCAAATTGACAAACGATGAAATATTAAATTTTCATAGCTTCGTAAATTAGTAAAAAAATTTTTTTATTTTAATAAAAGGAAATGTGTCGGTATATGCTCTTATCAATGCATTTTTTTTGTCTTCTTAAAGCGAAAATTTATTTAGGTAGCGGAGGTACGGAATTTCTATACCAGCCTTGGAGGAATGGGTGCCCCGGGTTAATATGGATCGATTTAAAAGAAAAAGGTTAGGATTAAAAAGGTTTTTTTTTCTCAACTTGAATACGTAATTTAAATTATTTATTAATTTATTTCGTGTCATGCATTTTGAATTTTTTACGTTATTATTTGTGAATTTACCGTTTAAGTTTTTACTAATATCCTTATTATTTTTAATAAAATTGTATCCTTATACGAATATAATAAAAATAAAAAGGCATTAAAACTAAAAAAAAAAATTATTAGTATTACCTAGGACAGCAGATTTCAAACGGTGTTCCGCGGAACCCTAGTGTTCCGTAATAGGAGTTCTGATAGTGAGTACTTTTTACAGCCGCAGACAGCTGACCACCTAACTGTAACAACCTGCTTCTGCACCCTGAAGTTCAATGTCTAAGACATAGGTTCCAAAATGGTGTTCCACGGAACCTGATGGTACCTCGGAAAAGCTACAGTGGACCCACGAGTTAGTACTTTTTTATAGCTAATGATGAGTATTGAAACCAAATACAATCTATAATTTATTTAATCTTTCTGTTACTTTAAGAAATTATTTCTAGCTAGGAGGCTTCGCCCCCTGCTCGCTGAGGTTTGACAACCCCCGGAACTGCTTTCGCAGTTCATTTCTAACTTGTGGATCCACTGTAGCTTTTCCAAAGTACCATAAGGTTCCGTGGAACACCATTTTGGAACCTCTGTCTTAGACATTTGACTTAGGGTGCAGAAGCTGGTTGTTACAGTTAGGTGGTTAGTCGTCTGTGGCTGTAAAAAGTACTCACTAGCGGAATTCCAACAATTCTTTACGGAACCCTAAGGTTCCGTGAAATACCGTTTGAAATCTACTGTCTTAGTTAATACTAATAATTTTTATTGAGTTTTAATGTCTTTCTATTGTTATTATATTTGTATAAAAATACAATTTTATTTCAAATATTTTTTTGTTACAAAATTGATCTTTATATTAAAAATATTATCGATAATTAATAATAAGGATATTAGTAAAAAACTTAAACGGTAAATTCACAAATAATAACGTAAAAAAAAATCAAAATGCGTGACGCGAAATAAACTAATAAATAATTTAAATTACGTTTTCAATATGATAAAAAAAAACTTTTTAATAATCAAAATAAGCTTAATTAAAAATAATAGATTCAAAATCCGAACAACCAATTCTTTTTAATCGATCAATATTAGTCCGGGGCACCCATTTCTCCAAGGCTGGTGGTGAAATTCCGTACCTCCACTACCCAATTAAATTTCCGCTTTAAGAAGATAACAAAAATGAATTGACAAAACCATATACATTAAAATAATTTTTTTTTTTTACTAATTTACGAAGCTATAAAAATTCAATATTTCATCGTTTGTCAATTTGAACTTTATTTTAAATTGACAAACTACTGTACAGAAAAACAATTATATGGAGTGGAATGACATTTAACTGATCTCCTCAGCAAAGCGATTTTAACAATTGCCTCATCCCACCCCTTAAAAATTTTTTAAAAAATATGTATTTTCTGTGTAACATAATTGGTTATACACTTTTATTTATAATTAAAAACATTAAGATGTGAATTGAATATTCAAAAATTTTTTTTTTTCCTTTTAAAAGTTCTCTTTTTCTAAAAATGACTTGCCCCTCTTCTTAATCCCCATAAGTACCCATTAATGTTAGAGGATAAGATAATACTGAAAATAATCGATTCGTTTCACAAAACAGCTCTTTTAATGTTAAAAGATATAAAATCGCTCAAATGAGTCGAACAACCAGCTCATAGAATCATTTAAATACTGTAATGTTAAAGTATAAAAAATCGACACAAAAATCAACTCTTTGAGCCAATATTATTGTTTAGAGATAGGATACATTTCGAAAGAATCGATTCATTTGGCTTAATGATTCATTTAATGCTAAGAGAAGCAAACAGTTCATTGAATCATTAATTCGATTCTCAACTTTTTTTTCTTCCCTATTTCAGTTTGTTTTCATCCAATCAGAGGTTCGTATTCATATTTCAATTTATTATCCAATCAGCGCAACAATTTCATTTTCTGTAGCTTTCGCTTCTTGATTTTGAATAAACGATAACATGGAACTCCGCTTTGCTTTATTTTTACAGAAGGTTAAAAATTGATAACAGATTCTAGTGGAGAAAAATACGCTCTTTAATACTAAAGTACTAAAAAGTAATACCTGTGCTTTGCAGTTTTAATTTCTTTTTATTTAAAAGGAAGAACCGAAACTGTCGAAGAAAGATTTTCAGTTGTCGTTGCCATCTTTAAAATAACTGTATATCAATAGAGTTAATTTCGCAAATGGAAAAAAAAAAAGGTAATGCAGTAGTAAATGTACTTTCCACAATACAAAGTTATTGTTTCGTCTCGGCCTGTAAATTCAATATTTTACTTTAGATAAAATAATGTTTAAAGATATAATTTTCATTGATTAAAACTCAATTAAATTGTAAATTATCCCCAAGATAAATGATTAATTTAATAGTACTTTTTCGATAATTGTTTATCAACCAATCCTTTTATTTGATGACAACTAATGGTTTGCTTAATTGAAAAAATATTGTAATAATTATTTTGTAATTGATTGTAATAATTATTAATAAAAAATTGCTGTAATAATTGTTTTACAATCTAGGACTAAGTTGCAAAACTGAGTATAACTACGTGGCTCTATGTTTTCGCTGGCAGGCTTGAGGGCCACCTACTCTGTGTGAATTATTTGGTTTACTAAAGCCAGCAAATCAAATGTCTTAAGATTTGTCTAGGGGGACAAACCAATTATTAATTTTATATTAGTATTAGTTTTGTTAGATGAAGTATAGTTCGTTCACCAGGAGTTGACGCTTGTTGCTCCATCATCTCTTCGGACGAAGAGTTCATTTCAGAGCGGGAGTACGAGGGAAAAACATCTCCACGCTTAAAATTGAGACAACCGTTAATGCACGCCAAACACTAACAGTGAATTCTTATTGTGCCCACCAAAATGTTTTAAAAAGGACAAACTTGACTCTATGGAGAGAAATATCATCAGATTTATGAAATATTTAATGTAAAAAAAATGTACATAAAGATTGCGAAATAAATATTTTTCTCATACAATCGACAAAAAAAAAAAAACTTTTTTCAGGATTGTTCACATCCTTCTCTCAAAAATAGCGAAATAGAATCGTCGCGCACCACGTGATGAAGGCGGAGCCAAGTGCCAACTCCTGGTGAACGAACTATCAAGACAAAAATGCCGTATAGAGAGGCGAAATATGTACCGAGGGGCTTCACAGAAGGTAAAGCTAGACTAACCCTACCCCTGTAAACGGCACGCGAAATATCAGTGTTCAAGAGCATTGTCACTTTTTAAAAGAAATATTACTAAAAAGTTCATATTTACCTCGTCCAAAAAATAGTAGCAATATCTAAACTGCTGCAAATAAAACTCTTCGCAATCAAAATCATGTCCGTCAATAGCAATTGAAGATCTTCGTGCCAATAAACATTTCTCTATAATAGATTTTGAGGCACTGTGCAGTAGTAACAACCTAGTTGAAATTAGTGAAACAGCATCAGACATTAAAGCTTCGATTTCTCTATTATGATCATCAGAGTGATTACCTTCGTCAAATATTACATTGAGCACTATTTTTTGCAGATAAGAGATTGAATGCTCAATAAAGACTGTAGGCAGATATCCATCATTTGACTCATTTTTCTCAAAATGATCAAATAATCTACCTTCAACCATTTTTAAAGCTCCTTGGGTATCTAAAATCTTATAAGGATTTATCTCACTTGCATTTCTAAAAAAGCATTCAACATCATTTATAAAAGATTTTAAGTATTCTTTTGAACTCTGGTTCTTGGGATTCAAGAAATTAACCGTATCAATACTAAAAAGAAGTGAAATAAGCTGCTGACGTGTTTCATTAGAGCTATTTCTAAGTGCTTTTAAGATTGTATCAATTAGAATATATTCAGGCTTATCTTCATGAATGATTTCTTTTAGCTCGCAGATAATTGAATGAGCTTCTAACTCATCTTTGTTCAGGGAAATTTCTACGGGAGGGTGAAGAGAGATACAATCAGATTCTTGAGTGACTTCTTTAGCGTTTATGAGAATACCACAGAATTTTTGGGCTCTGTTGTTTTCCTTGATAACTTCTAAGACTTTCTGAAAGTTCTCCTTAAGTCTCACATGCGAAAAACATACCTATATAGAATAAAATTATAGTTAAGACCTGGTAATACTTGTCAATGAAAAGTTTAACAATATTTTTTTGCCCTGAATTATCCGAGGAAGATTTATTGCAATAAAATAGCTGTAAAATTTAAACCAAAGTTACACCTTCAGAACATGAGAAAACCACACTTATATAGAATAAAATTATAATTAAGACCTGGTAATACTTGTCAATGAAAAGTTTAATGATATTTTTTGCCCTGAATTATCCAAGGAAGATTTATTGCATTAAAATAGCTGTAAAATTTCAACCAAAGTTACACCTTCAGAAAAAGTTGAGATTTGTGTAACGTTATTTTAAGTCTATAAATGTTTATATTTCGTTATTATAGTAATTAAATTATGAATTACGAGCATGAATTCTTTCTTTATGCGCCATTATATTTCAAAGTTCAATTATATTAATTCCATTTATAAAACGCCATTACAATGTAGAAAGCGCCGCTACATTGAAGAAAACACTATAACACTGAATAGAGCCTCTACACGGTTTCTTACAAGAAGTCTGCGCAGAGTACTTAAAAAGCTGACCACTTGTGCGCATGAACCCAAATTCTATTTTGAAAATACTTGAGAGAAATTTATCATATATATTTTAGAACTGAATCTATAGTGGTTGACAAGTAAATAAAACAACCCAATTATATTCATAAATTAAAAAAATTTTTAGACACATTTTTGCTACCAATTTTAATTTTTAATAGATTTCATATTAAATGGTTCTTTCTAAAGTTCAAACTTGGTTTGCCTTTATAGTGGTCTGATCAGACTACCTACAATAAACCGCGTGGAGGCTTTCAGTTATCGAAGGCGTTGATAGAGCACCTTTATGTTGAGATGGGCCGGGAATTCCACCCCCTCTCTTTTATGTGCTTCAGGTTAGGTTCATCTTGAGCAGATTCATTATCGTTACTAGATTTACCAGTACAACGATCCTAAATTACTTAACAGTAGGAATCTACTTACTCTGTTATTCCAAAAATGCCATTTAGGGACAATTTGCAGAATGGCCTGACGATACATCGTATATAACATCAGATAAATTTTCCACACAACTTCTTCACTAAACCAAGTATACACTAGTTTTCTAAATAGAAAAAAGATTTATTAGTAAGCAAACACTATGTAGAAATTACAAGACTTCATAGCCATACCTTATTAATTTGTAAAGTAAACTCTCGATCAACCAGATTATCCCAAATCATCTCAATACATTTTGTCATCAATACATTTTTGCTAAATTAAATTTTATGCTATTAACAATTAATTATCTTATAAAAGTTAATTTGCTAAAGTTTATTTGAATAAAATATCATTTGAGAACCAGATTCAGAGCATGTTAAGAAAAATAAAATTAGTAATCATAAATCATTTCAAGAATCAATATAAAATCATCAATAATACAATACCCCGAGTTGATTTCCAACACTACTTCTTTATATGACTTTCGTTACATTAATCATTTACTTTTTCAAAGTAAAATCAGTAGATAAATTATTCATATACACATGATTATACAAAAGATATATAGGGTAAAAATAATTTAATAATAACTGGAGTGGAGAGAGTTAAAAAAAAATATGTGCACGTTGGGAAAAAAATGTGCACATGGAGGAAAAAAAAAACTAATTAATTATCACGTTTTCCATTACTTGTTAGATCAAATTTAGAAAAACATTATTATTCATTAAAATTTGAATTACCTAGGCAATTATTGAGGAAGATTTTAAAAAAATAAATTAAAGTAATTTACATTTCGGCGGCCTCTGAAATCACCGGTGGATCCACCGCTCACAACCAACAGCGTGTTCACGTACAGCTCTCACTTCGGACTGCTAGGAAAAAGAGGCGGGGATCNTAATGATTTAAGGGGGGGGAGCCTGCGCGCGGTAGAGCAGGCGACCTACTACAAATTGTTGATTGGTCTAACAAGTTGCTACGTCATGCTTTAGTTGTCGAACGGGTGTTCAACGCTTGGATGCGACAGAGGGGGAGAAGTTTCTCTAAAATGTAAAAGTTAATCATCCTCTCCAGGCAAAAATATTCTCTCACTCCATTACTGATGTAACACAAAAAGTTTGTTCTTGATTACCACATATTATTTTAAGTCTGTGATGTTTGGAAATTAGTCGCATATATGGCCTGCCGATATAACATGAGAAAATTTATATCTATAAAAATCTTCTTCAGCATCTTCTTCTTTGTAGCAATTAGATACTTACACTTCATGAAGAAGATAACAGGTACCCAAACATGTAACCTAAGACGTCATTGACAGCTAATTTATAAATAAAATGGTGTATTAAAATTTAGCTTCTTTACCTGTTAAGAATGTTAATTAACATGAAGTTAATTAAATGCAACAAGCAAAGTGTAAAGGTGAATGCAATTCTGCTTTTCATTTTCATTGTGGTGGTTTCACTGAAAGAGCTTTTAGAAGACTTACTGTTGATAAAAAACAAAAGTGGACCTGCGTACAATGTTAAAATCACAGGAAAATCCAACGAAAATAAAAAGTGCAACTAGCCCAGACATTCTCGAGGATATCTTACAGCAAAATAAAGACCTAAAAGAGTTAATAACTAACAAATTCAATGATTTAACCCGTTCAATTGAATTCAACAGTGAAGTAATTTAAGATTTGAAAAATTCTATCACAGAGCTACAGAACGTAAACAAAACTTTACAAGCAAAAAATGATCAGCTAACTAGAGAAAATGCAGAAATAAAGAAGGAACTGATTGAACTAAAAGAAGCAATTATTGAACTCAAGCAATATTCCCGAAGATGCAACTTTGAAATAAATAACTTACCCGAAT